GAAAAATGATAGGACGACAACAGAGGAGATTAAGGAGAAGGCAGGAATGCAGACATCGTAATCAACGTCACGACGAGGAGGTGATTCCGAAGCACGGAAATAATTAGAGAAATAATCCAAAAATTCCCCTGAATATTACCGAAATGATTGCACAAGTTGTCATAGCGGGCATGACAGTGATTCTTCAAAATCAATGACAACTTCAATCAGAACTTGCTCCTGCTCCTGTATAAGTAGAACCACAGAACGTCTGGGATAAAGCCAAGAGTTCTTTCTTTAAAGGGAGCCCACCAGAGTTTGCAAGGTCCACTGATGTGAAGATAACCCGTCAGTTAAAAAAATATATTGAGCGTCACATCCGTCAGGTGGAATGCACTGAAGTTCAGAAACAGATACTCGCATCATTTAAGCTGGTCGGGGATGCACTTCAATGATGGGAATCTATTACCACTACGGAAGAGCGATCTACATTAACTTATGCACAATTTCATGCTCGCTTTAATGACATTTGCAATCAAAGCAGCAAATAAAAAAGAGTTCCTCAATCTTTAGCAGGGGGATAGAACAGTTGTAGAGTATGAGCAAGACTTTACTAATTTATCTCTATTTGCGCCAAAAAAAGGTAGACACTAAGCAAAAAAAAAAAAAAAAAGGGATTGTGTTGTAAATGAATTGATGTGGCCCATTAAACAACACATTATGGGTAATCCAGTATATGCCAGTTACTCTTAGTTAGTTGACGCTGTTTTACGGCATTATCAAATACGGCATGGTTACAGGAAAGGTAGAGACAATAAGCGAGGTGACAGGGATCAAATGATCTAGACCTTTCAGAAGGGTAGTAGTAGTGGCACTAAGTAGAATGAAAGAGGGAGATTCTAGGGATAACAGCCTTGGAAGAAAAACAAGGGAGATAATGATGGTCAAAGAGATAGAGCTCCAGTTTATAGACAGCCGATAGGAACATTTCAGCCTGGACAAGGTCAGTATCAAGCGAACCAGCAGAGGAGACAATTTGGCCCTTTTAAAGGAAATTGTTATGTGTGTGGTGAACTGGGACACCCAGCCAAAAAGTGTCTAAAGAATACTCAGACACAACAGGGTCAGCAAGGACAGAGGCCACCAGCACCTTTATCAGCACCGCAAATTCCTCGGGTTCACCTCCGAACTTTCCAACTTTACTAGCACCACCGCCACGTCCGACACAACCCCCACAACAATTGCAATATGGCAGAGTTTATAATGTCATGCCATATGATGTACAACCTCCCCAGGCCATAAAGGGTATGTTTCCTATATATGGTAAGCCTGGTCGTATTCTTTTTGATACTGGTGCATCACATTCTTTTATGTCTAGATTATTTGTTGTTTCGTCCGGTATAGTAACTCGACCTTGTGACCAACCTCTCAACATTTCTACACCGTTGCGAGTTGGTACTATTTTACGCAAAAGTTGTGAACATGTCACTATAGATATTGGTAGACTTCGATTTCTAGCCACTCTATTAGTTTTGGATATGTTTTCATATGATGTGATACTTGAGATGGACTGGTTATCTCAGTATCATGCCCAAGTAAACTGTCATGATAAATTCATTATATTTATTATAATAGGACAAAAGATGTATCTCATTGCTATGCCTCGACTAGATGGCGGATTTAGTACTCATTTGTTCTACCTTGAGAAGGAGCCTCAAGGGGAGATTACAGTATCACTTGATAGTATTCCAGTCGTGCAAGAATTTCAGGATGTTTTTCAAGACATTCTTGGCCTGCCACCAAGTTGAGAGATAAACTTTGTCATTGATTTTAGCTCTTGGCACCACGCCTATTGCTAAAGCACTATATAGTATGGCACCAGTGGAAATGCGGCAACTAAAGGATAAGATTCAGCAACTTCTTAGTTAGGGGTTCATTTGTAGGAGTACTTCACCGTGGGGAGTACTCCATTTGTGAAGAAGAATGATGGATCTCTTCGTCTTTGTATTGATTACAGATAATTAAACAAGGTCACGATCCAGAATAAGTATTCGTTGCCAAGGATTGATGACCTGCTTGATCAGTTGAAGGGAGCCACTTACTTCTCAAAGATAGATTTGAGATCTGGATATCATCAACTTCGAGTCTGGGAGCAAGATGTCCTAAAGACAGCATTCCTCACTGGGTATGAATCGTATGAATTTTGAGTTATGCCTTTTGGGTTAACTAATGCTCCAGCAGTCTTTATGGACTTGATGAATAGAGTATTCAGATTATACCTAGATTAGTTCATCATTGTTTTCATCGATGACATCCTTATGTACTCTAAGTCAAAAAAGGACCATGCCAAACATTTACGCACAGTGTTGCAAACACTTCGAGAGCATCAGTTATATGTAAAATTTGAGAAGTGTGAATTTTGGCAGAGAGATGTCAAATTTCTAGGACATGTAGTGTCAGAAAAAGGATTAGTAGTAGATCCATCCAAAGTTTCAAATTTGGAGTGAGGACAACTTACCTCACCGATAGAGGTCCGTAGTTTTCTAGGATTAGCAGGATATTACCGTAGATTCATCCAAGGATTTATGGTTTGTATGGTTTAATGCTTCCAATTGACTATTCTATTCTATCCATATGTCTATGTATGCTAGAGTAGGATATTCATGTGCTTATCCCTAGATTTAGTGTTTTTGATGCATGTCTATGTGTATTGATGCTATAGATCTAGAGATTATCAAGATGATATGCTTAATGAATGCTATTTTGGTTTATTTGATGGTTTATGCCTATTCTTGATGGTTTGTGCCTCTCCCCTAGTCTAGATAGCTTTATTTTCATGCTAGTAGAGGTAGTGTAATGTTAGATGGGAAGACAATCTACTCTTGATGTTTGATGTTCCATGCTTGTGAGTCCAAATGGCATATTCCTCTAATATTGTGTTGTATGTGGATTGTGAGCTTAATGAAGGATTAATGACTTGTTTTGATCTATTGTGCTATCCCCATGTTGTCTAGACAATATATGCTCTATTGTTTAGATATATTGTGCTTTTCACATGATTTTTAGACAATACTTGCTTGATTTGTCATCCTTGCCAATTGAATCAACCTAATGCACACACACCCTTATCATATTGCAACACATCCATTACCCTCAATTGATCATTTGTTAGTAGTATAGAAAAGTATTGCTTGGTGGTAATCTCTACACCCTAAGACCTCTCTATCTCTTGTTTACTTCATATTATTTTATTTAGTTGAATTCAATTTAGCTTAATCAACCAACCAATCAATTGTGTGATCACTCGACCTACTAACCCTAATTACCATAGTTTCACAATTCGATACACCATCTAATCCCTTGGGACGATCCCTACTCGCCCTATCTATATTTTATATAGAGAAAGGTAGTAGTGGCTTTCTATAAATGTAAAACTTGGCCACCTCCTAAATTCACAACTCTTCAAGTTTGACTTGGTATCGCGACCCTTGTAAAGGACCGGTCAAAAACCATACACATTAATTTCTCATCATCAGCATCCACGGTCATCTGTTGTTAGGCATGGTAGATATGTTTTGTTGAATCGGTAGTACCATCGAAGGCTGTAAATATAATCATGCTGAACTGCTTCGGCTTTGGAGTTATAATGATTTCATCAACGACGATTATGTTAACTTATTGGCCACCTGCGTAGCCAAATCAGTGGGAGTTTTAAACTCCTTGATTTGCACACTAATTTTCTTTTGCATTTGGGTTCTCCAATCTGGTTGCCCCCTATTGGAATGTCCTGTAGGTGACTGCCTCGGTCTCGGTTTTAGATTGCCTTTCTGATAGACAAATGGTTGGACTCTGCGTGATCTTATCATGGTGGATTTAGGTGCCTTTGGCTTTCCGCTCGCTCAGCCCTCACCCGGAGTTCGACGTTCCCTTAGCTAAGGGCCTCAATATGTTGTTGGAGCTCTTCTCACATTTTTCTCATGATTTCTTCTTGTCGCTAGGATACTTTTGCTTCAGTCATATTCCAAGAATGGAGTTACATTTATTAAGTATTAAAAAAGTTTTTCTCCGACGGCGCCAAAATGTAAGTGCAAAAAACGTGAGAGTAAAAAATTCATGCCAACACCCTAAAATAAACAAAGGGAATTATATTATTACTTGAGCAAAAGGCCTCCGAGCTTAATAATTCTAATGTTTAATGCCCTTTTTTTTGGGTTTGAGCTTCGTCTATTTATGTAGTGATCATGTAATGTTCATAGTAAATTTCCCTCCTTGATCTACTCTTTTTCAATTTCATTCCATATTTGTTGCAGATAATCTGGCCTTCTCCTCTTCATCGTTTCCATTTTCGAATTTTAATTGTGGTTTGAACTACTGCGCCACATGTTGCTTGGTGGCATTGACATGCGTTTGGCTTCCATTGGTTGATGATTTATATAGGTGTCCAATTCTAGTTGGTTCAGATTTCTTTCCTCCACATATATAACGATGTGTAGAGGGCCAATGTATAGCCATGGGAATGGCAAATTCGTCAAGCGAATTTTGGTACCTATGATTTTTAAAATTTTAAAAGACTATTAAGGTCATTTTATATAGGGAAACAGAAAATTTGTCATAAAGTAAAAAATTTATGACTATTCCAGATATCAGGTTAATGAAAAAGGGGTCGTCGCATGAGGGGTACACGGTGTTATTAGCACTATTTCAACCGCTAAGTGTAATTAGACCAAACATTATAGCACGAGTGTAATTTACCCTATAATTTATTTAATATCTTTTTATTCATCTTTGAAGAAATTAATCTCCATTGGTCAGTGGCAACCTTAATAAAGTGTACCAGAAACACACATAATAATCACGTGGATCCATCCAGCTTGGGAACATCAATTTTGAGAGCACCGCCATATTCTATTAAAGATCCCATGGCATATTCGTTGGCATACACTGCTCCCCAAACGAACCACTTGTGGGTATATATATATATATATATATATATATATATATATATATACTCTATCGCATATATTTAGCCTCTCACCAGCAGCATCGGCCCATGACTCTACTCCAATCCAATCACAGTTGACGACAATCAACACTCTACAACTAAAACAAGTGAACCTAGAACACTTTAATTTCTAAGAGGTGGCTGGTTGCACACTGTTTCTCTCTCCATATATATGTGTGTGTATATATATATGTATGTGTGTCTCTGTGTGTTTTGCACTTTCAAAATCCCAACTCACCTCCACTGATTAGCCATGGCTGGTTCAGACAACAGAACAGTGGTGGTTAATTGTGTGGTTTTTGTTGGGTGTTTGTATTTGCTGGTGCTTTGTTTCTACAACCTCGGAGCTTCAGAGATTTGAACACCCTGCAAAAGGCGATGGCTCGCTTAGCTTTCTGGTTCTTGGGGATTGGGGACGAAGAGGTGCCTTCAACCAATCTCAAGTTGCTCTTCAGGTATCCAATTCAAGCCTATATGTACACAGTTCTAGTCTAATATATATATGTATATAGAGAGAGAGAACAATGCTGTGTTTTGAATTCAATAATGGTGTCTTCAACATCAGTAGATGAGAACCATTACATGTTTGTTGATATAGAAGTGTCTAGTGAAGAAGATCCATTATTGGTTTTTGAGATTAAAAAGGATACATTTGTTACTGAAACAATTTATAAGGAATTAAGTTCAAGATTGATACATTTTGATAATTCACTTTTTTTTTTTTTTTTTTGTCTCTCTTTGTTTTTTTTTGGCCGGAAAGAATAAATTTAATGAAGGTAGGGCTGCAACTCGAGCGAATTTGAGGTATAACTTAAGTACAACTTACCATATGAAATGTTAATCCCAAGCCCAACCCTAATCTTATTCTCAACCCTAACTACTTAACACGAGCCCAACCCATCATCCTATTTTTAAATTTGGTCTTGCAACTCGAATTTAGATTTCGTGTTAAAACTTTGGGTTAATTCTGATTACTCATGTAGCTAATCTTCACACCAAAAATTTAATATAATCTTGAATTAATTTTACATTAAATCACAAAAAAAGTTTAAAGACTTATTTGTAGATTTTTAATAAATTACAAACAAATTTTTAGAATATTAATTCTCATAAATGCTAACATACGGTAAATTAAGATTTAACAAAGGAAGCTGAAAAGAAAAATGGTAATTATAATTTAAATATTATATATAATGTATTTTAAAGTTAAAATATTTATGAAAATAATATTATAATTCGGGTTTGGATTTAGCTCAGGTTGCTAGCACTTCAATTCAAGTCCAACCCTAATTTAATTCGGATATTTTTCAATCCAAATTCAACTCTAATTGTAAAAATAATTACCCAAGCCCGCGAAAAATCAGATTGAGGTCGGATTAGGTTCGGGTTTTTCATCCCAAGTTGCACCCCTAAATGAAGGTAATGAATAGTCAGCTACTTCCTTTGATTTATTTTTTTATTTTTTTTTTTCTTAGGAGGGGGAAGGGGGTGACTGTTTTAGCTAGTGTGATAAAATTATAAAGAATTCGAAAACGTAGAGGAATTTTCAACCATCTACTTTCAATCTAGTATTTTAATTGTTAAGGAGAAAAAGTATATATTTATTATATAAAATTTAGGCATCATATTTTATTAATGAAAATTAAAGAAGTTGAACTAAATTATGAATATATTTTTCACCAAAATTAACAAACAGTATTCTGTTAATTCCTGCAGATGGGTAGGATCGGAAAGAAATTAGATATAGATTTTGTAGTTTCAACCGGTGACAATTTCTACGATAACGGCTTGACAGGCGAGTATGATACCGGATTCGAGGATTCATTCACCAAAGTCTATACAGCCAACAGCCTGCAAAAGCAGTGGTACAGCAGTGAGTTCCAACACCAGAACCATGAAGCAACAACATTTCTTCCAAGAGCCATAAAACACACACACACACACACACACACACACACACACACACATATATTTAGTCTTTTAATCCTATATAGATATGTCTCAAATGCAGTCTTGGGCAACCACGATTACAGGGGAAATGCAGAAGCACAACTGAGCCCAGTCCTTAGGAGAATCGATAGCCGATGGCTTTGCTTGAGATCTTTTCTTGTCAATGAAGGTGAATTGATATTACTACATTGTTTCATGAATTGGGTACCACATGTAAGACAATATATAGTAGATTGATTGTTCGATACAATTATAATTTTGAATTTTTTTTCAGAAATAGCTGAGTTGTTCTTTTTGGATACCACTCCTTTTGTGGAAATGTACTTTAGTGATGCTGAGAACCACACCTACGATTGGCGAGGCATTACCTCTAGGAGGACTTACACTGCACATCTATTGAAGGTAAATATATTGCTGATTCTCTTTCTTTTACCCAGAGTTGAATGATCAAATTGCGAACTTTATTGAAGTTGCACATCAATGAAGTTACTTCCCTTTCAGTTGCTGATAGAACATGCTTATTGTTCGTCACTTAAGTTTAGGGATGTCAACCAGGGCGGGTCTTGGACGGGGCAAACCTTTCTCAAACCCGTCCCACCAAGAAAAATATTTTTCCAAATCCTATCCGGGGCACCCCACATTGGAGTCAAGGCGGGTTCAGGGTGCCAGATGTACATATTTTTAAAGAAAAACAATTCAAACTTGAATAAATATTTAACAATCATAATAACAAAAACATTATTAAAATTTAAAATTATAAAGGGAAAATAAAAATTCTAGCTAATAAAAGAATATTTATTTATATATTAATTATTAATCGGGACTTTGCGGGTTTTAGGCTGTCTTTCCAAACCAGCCCCTTTCCTTATTAGGATATTTCCAAACCCATCCCATCGGGTTAAATTGACATCTCTATTTAAGTTCAATTCGACAAAGTTTCTTATTTATGCCAATCCTGTAACTAGGATATAGAATCGGCGCTGAGCCAATCAACAGCAAGATGGAAGATTGTTGTCGGTCATCATGCAATCCGAAGTGTTGGGCATCATGGTGACACTCAGGAACTTGTGAACCGGCTTCTTCCAACTCTTCAGGTAAACAAGAATTTTTCAAACACTCCGCATTAATAAGCAAAGTAATTCAAACTTTTGAACACTAGCTGAAAATTGCAGGCTTACAATGTCGACTTTTACATGAATGGGCACGACCATTGCCTAGAACAAATCAGCGACACCAAAAGGTACTTCAATAATCCTATTAGTGTTGTTAAAACCCGAAGAATTCGAACAGCTTGCACTAATTCATGTTGCTGTTGCAGCCCCATCCAGTTCATAACCAGTGGAGCAGGCTCGAAAGCGTGGAGAGGAGATGTTAAAGGATTGAACGAAGAAGGTCTGAAATTCCTCTACGATGGGCAAGGGTTTGTGTCTGTTCAGTTGACACAAACTGATTCTGTAATCGAGTTCTATGATGTTTTTGGCGAAGTATTGCACAGATGGAATGTGTCCAAGGAGCTTCACGTGGCTTCTTAGTGATTTAGTGCCGCCAATAGAGGATGATATGGTACCCCATTTGTGTTTTGGATCGATTAATTTGTCGGGAAAGAGAAAAAATGGAGAAGAGAGACATTGATTAATGCAACATTAGTGATTTGAAGAAGAAGAAGAAGAAGAAGAAGAAGAAGAAGACATTGATTGACGCAGAATTGGTATGTAAAGAAGAAGAATACATCTCATCAGTGAAGCACCAAAGTGCCAATTGCTTTTTGTTTGTCATTTCGAATGGAAGTGTGAACATATAGACATCTTTGTATTCTCTATATGTGAGCTTGTACAACCACATAGTGCCTATCTCATAGTCAAATGACAATTTTGCCCTTAAAATATGTTTCATCCAAGTCCACCAGGGTCAGGTCATCCCGAGGGATATGCATGTTTGAATCATTTCGGCCCTAAACAAATTTTAGTGACCTAAACTTGAGCTTTAAGTGCACATGATACATTTACCACCATTGTCATCAAAGGTCTACACGAGTCATTGAGTACTTGAATCTACTTTCTCAATCGAAGGTCCTAAATTGAAGTGGTCCACAAAGTGTAAAATGGTCCTGAACCATTTAATAACTTCTCTTAAGACGGTGAGAAGAGAGTGGAGTCTACCATGCATTTAGGCTAGGAAAATAATATTATAACTCGTCCCACCTAGGATCTTCTGTTGTACTGCTCGGGTCCCGTGCTTGCCAAAATGCTTGCGAGCTGAGACCAAGCTTGGCTTGACCGAGCTCACTTGAGGTCGAGCTGAGGCCGAATACTGTTTTGGTAGTGGCTAGCCCGGTTCCTCATGTCAAATCAGAATGAGATAATCTCGCAAACCTTCCAAGTGAGATCTTTTAGCAGGCGTTTGCCCCCGATCCTTCTAGAAATGATGTTATAGATGTTCTTCTCAGGATGGGCATTGTGTAGTTGGGTACTTGTGGGTGACTATCGGATCATATAACACAAGGCATAAACTGATGTTTGGAGTTAGTTGCAATCTAGTTTATTTGGATGGAAAACTGATGTTTGGAGTTAGTTGCAATCTAGTTTATTTGGATGGAAAACTGATGTTTGGAGTTAGTTGCAATCTAGTTTATTTGGATGGAAAGAAATAATCGAATTCAACAAAACTCATACAAGGACTTGCCTTCTATCCAAAGAAATATAGAACAATGCGTGAGATTTAGGCTTTTCTCTTCTTCAAAGGTTGATAAAATCTCTAATATCTCCCCTTTTCAGTGAACAATTAGTGTTTATATACATATATATATAATTACATTACTTACTAAAATAATAACAATACTATAGGAATTGATCAAAGAATAATGATAAATAATTTGAAAGTTGACATCATTCAACTATTACACGTGAGTGCATATATGACGTCATTAGATATAATGATGTCTTCATGACATCATTCTTAACTTACATAAATTTAGCTGAAAGTATATCATTTACTCTTATTCGTTTATGTTGATGAATAGAATAAAGTAAAACAGTACATAATTATAATTCAACGTGTATAATACAATTTTTTTTTTTCGCCAAACTATAACAATGCAGTCAATAGCATATACAACAAAGTAATATGTTGGCACTAATAAACAGAAACCATGACATGAAATACCGTATTTTGGAGCACCAAATCGGTTTGGTGCTCCCAAATGTAACATAATAATAGATAAACCTTGTGCCTCTCTCTCACATTGGCCAGTTCCCCCTAAAGATTATTGAGTGGACTCCGGAGGTTAGATAGGGATCCAGCCAAAGGGGAAGTGGGGATCAAATTGTGAAAGTGGGGTAAAGTCAATTCAGCCCCAACTTCCGAATCAATTAAGATTACTTAAATATTTTATCGGGGAAAAAAAAAAAAAATTACGTAATCTTAATTGATTATATATATATATATTTTCTTCGGTGTTTGGAAAAGATCTAAATTGAAATTAAAATCAAATTTATCGGGTGAGACGTGTAAAATAACTTGTTAAAAATGGGTGAATAAATTATTTTTGTTATATATATATTTTACGACAACCAATCACCAAAAAATAAAAAAAAAATTTCTGAAAAATATTTTACATCTAAACAAATAGAGTCCAAGTGTTAATCGAATTAACTATGTTTCATAATGCAATTTAAATATCACTTAAACAAAGTCTTAGGCTCCAACTATACAGATGAAACTGATTTAAACACAAACAATGCAGTAAAAACAGTAGCTAAGAACATACATGAGCAGATGCTGAGCATTACCCATGAAATGTAGCTTGCAGAAAATTGAAGAATTAAATAAAGATGAGAAAAAGACGCTTAAAATAAGTGCAGATTCAACCCTCACTCAATCAAAGAAATCATAAAACTTTAACCTCGTTTTACATCAAGGTGCCCATTTATATATGTGAGAAAACCCTACCAAAAAAAAAAAAACTTAAGCTCAGAAGCTTTCTAAGAACTTGTATGGCTTAACGTTGGGACTTAAGCTAACAATTCTAATCGTAGATTAACTAGTAGGATAGCAATCAGCCGCCCCCTCAACCTTACTCTGCTTGGGACTTCAACAATGCAAGATGGATTGGCACCTGCAATTCAATCTCTAACCACAAAAATCCCTTCACATAAGATGAACAACCGGGAAAGGTATGATAGAAAAAAGTAAGCGAATACTCTATATGATATATATGTATGAAGGTGGAAAGCTATACATATCAATATATAACAATGTCTAGCTAAGGACTTGAGCTCGTCTACCCTTGGCATAAGGTAATAATGGTGACAACGATGGCAACGGTGCAGAGAGGGATGCTTATATTTAGGAATATTTCAGGGAGAAAATAAATAGTAGAAGTATCATTGAACAAATCAAGTTTAGCTTATTGGTAATCTCACCCTAAATCTGGCTCTATAACTTTCTCAGACGAACCAACCCCTATTTATACACAAGTAAGATGCACCCACTATATTCAAATCCAGACTTGAGCACTCAACATCCAATTTGGGACGAACCAACCCCTATTTATACTACAATTAAGATGCACCCACCATATTCAAATCCGGACTTGAGCACTCAACCTCCATTTTGGGAGGTAGAGGAGACACCTCCACTCCAATTAAACCCTACTCAACCGTCCATTAAGGTTGCTGGTGGACCAAACCAAAGCAATTATCCACAAACCCGAGTTGAATTCTCATCTTAATAACAAATTTGATAAATTAAAAAGAAGAAAAGAAAAGAAAAGAAAAAAAAAAAAAAAAACTTAATCACTGCCCACATACCTGGGTCTACTACTTCCTGCAAACACAAGAAGCCCACTTCACTATCTTTCGACTCCTAAGGAATAATATTCTTAACAATACCAAAAAAATAAATAAATAAAATTACTAACCAAACAAAAAACCCCAATATTTAAACTAGACAAAATAAGTCATTTTAAGATCCATTGGCGTGTGCTATTGTTATTGACCTGTCTTCTCCTTCTGGTTGCTCTTGTATCAATAATAAGACTATTATTTATGTCATTACACTTGTTTTTATTCCGATTTAACTACAATTTGAGGTCCAATGCTTTTATCAGTTTTGATGCATTAAAACAACATTACGACCATCTTGGTAGGAATCTTATTCAATGTTTTAAGAGGTTACAGTGCCTAGTATTTCACCCAGTACTCACAGTCAGTCACAAAGGCCATGACAACACTAAGTAGCACCCTCTTGATAGTTTCTCCAGTAATATAAGCAATGAAAGAAGCATAAAATCGTCCTAATCTTGATAGTTTCTCCAGTAATATAAGTAATGAAAGCAGCATAAAATCGTCCTAAGCCAAATTATCCCTCGAACATTAGCACTTGAAGTTACTTATCCAAAAAAACATTAGCAATTGAAGATCAAATATGTGTAACAATGAGATTAAATAATTTAATTCCACTCAGCTAACCTACTATCTAATAGACAATCATATGTTAAATAAGCAAATCCAAATTTCAAACTATTTAAAATTCTTACATCAAATGAGAAATCCCATAACTATACACAGATCAATTAGTTCGCAATAACCTGGTAATTTCCTCTAAAATTACACTAGATTATAGCAATTAAGCCGGTCAGTCCATGATAAATTTTGCTTTGGCAGCGATGCAAGTGAAGAAAGCTCAATTCATGACAAAATGGTACCTTGAATCGACATAGCTCTCAACATCCCAGAGGAAAGAACCAAAAGTCACGGCCTCCAAAACAAGTCTTCTCAAACCACCAAAGCTAATCTTGATGAGTTCATCCTTTGAAGAATCAATGGTCCCTTCAGGTGTGATAACAATCTCAGGTCTACCAAACAATGCTTCTGTATGCTTCTCAATGATGCTAACAGCCTCTCTGGATCTTATGGTTGCATACCTCTGAAGTGTCTCCCCATCGAATGACATGACATAGGTTCTCAGCCGGGAGGCCTTTAACCCTTTTCCAAAACCTCCAGGGCTTACGCCGCCGGACCAGGATGATACTTCAGGATGGGGTAGAGCAGCACTGAATGAGTCCTTGCCACCATTACCACTGGGTCTCACCTCCTCCCCCAAAGCTTGCTGAACATTATTCTCTCCATCATCCAACCCCTGTGGAAGGATTTTCATTGTTTTTTCAAGCTGAAACCTCTGGTCAACTCGCTTGAGGAAGTACCCATACATCACTGATGCAGCATAAACCTGACCAACCCTAAGCTTGCTTATCTGAGCTACAGAGGTTGAATCACTCAAGCGATTGCCCAGAATGAGAGCCAAGTGATTCTGGATCATCTCATAGGCTTCAGGAGAGTGAAGCTGCTCAAGCTTGTCATCTTGGCTGGGCCAGGTGTCAACTCGGCCACGAGAGTCTGATGATGGGGGGATTATGGTGGGTATCAAAGAAACAGTAGCATCCATGAATTTCTGCACAACCAGCGCATACAATATCTCTTCTACAGCTTTTCTCCTTTCATTTTCTTTCACCTCTGCAATTCTCCTAATAATTTCAAAACCATCAAAAAAATCACTTTTCCAGTCAACAGTATAATTTCAATTCTAGTTGCAGAATTGCCGAAGGAATACAAGAAAAAATTTGAGACCTGTTTATTTACTATTAGTTCCGAATGGATGTAAAAGCTTCACATTTGTCAACGTTTAATCTACCTCAATTAAATCAGTAACCAAAATCAGGGTTAAGTAATTTATAATCAGCAAGTCCTTACATACAACACTAACCTGTACAGTACTAAGTCAGTGCCAGAAGAAGAGGGCTCTTCCTTGTGCTTCTCTGCATCACGGTCGGTTTGAAGCTGTTCAAGCTGCTGCTCCACTGCAGCTGGGACAAGATGCGGGTGGCTTATCAATATTTGAGCGAGAAACTGACCAACGGGAGACTCCATCTTTAGAGGAGCGATTGGAGCAGTTGGGCCCACTGAATCGGAAGAAGATGAGGCCCTAATTGCAGTGCATTTCCTACTCCCAACAGCTATTCTTCTATGCCCCAACTTTGAGTGTGAAATTAAAGGGTATTTCTGCCACCCACAATCGAAATGGAAAATCAAATATATACTATATTTTCAAGCACATTAACATCACATGGAAGTTGAAAGGTCACTAACCTTTAAAAACACTCATTAAGTTTCTAACACTTTAAAGTTTAAACCAGCTAATCTAATGTGTTCTTTGTTTGTATATATTTGGATTAATGTAAAAAAGACGTAGGTCCATCATTCACAGTTCAGAACAGGTACCTTCAAAGTTCTACTGACACATAAATGTAAATTAAATAGCATGCCACACCTTAAACAGACTAGACTAGTTAAGGTCAAGTCAAGTTCTACTTGAAATTAAACCAAATTCAACCCACCCAGTCCTAAATAAGATCATTTGTGGCTCAACTTGCAGTATTTAGTATAACATACCCTAATAATTTAATCACTCAACATTATAGCAAACCCTAACCAAAATTAAAGTCAAATTTGCAAATTAAATTCTAGACTAAGTTTTTTTTTCTGATAAACCAAAAATTCTGAACTGATTTACCAGTAAACATCACACATCACATATTCATATCCCCGTATTATCTGCCTGTTCACTGAGAAACTAAGGTGGAGTCAACAAACACGAAAGAAAAATTAAACCCATTATTTAAATTCACCCAAAAATGTAGACCCAACTTTTCTTTACATCAGAAAATAAAATTGCCCTTTTTCTTTTCTTGGCAACCAAACAAAGCCATAAATCTATGATTCGAACAATCAAACATTTTTTATGTAGCATACCTTGATCCAAGCGTTTGTAAACCGAGATTTGGGGCCGAAACGCACGAAATCGGATCCGTTGGACATCGAAACAGCCGATCGGACGACTGGATTCGAAGGTCCATGACAGATGCCGAAAGAGGACCGAAGAACTGTAGCTGTTTCCATCTTCAACACCACAAAAATCAGAAACCCTAAATCAACAAACCTACTCTATTTTTTAGATAAGAGCAGGTAGGTATAAAGATAAGCCCTCGTGAGACAGTTGTATATATACTATATACAATATTGTTTGTTATATGTACAATCAATATAGAGAGAGAGAAACGAAACAGTGGTCTCGCTCGATCTTGTTAAATTATTTGTGAGCGTTTGGAGATACAAAATAAATAGCCAAACATTAGAAAATATTTTTAAAATATTTGTGATAAACGTGGTTGACCTGGTATTAAAAAAAAAAAAAAAAGAAGGAAAAAAAACCCTGTTGTTGCCTTTAAATACAGAATTACCACTGAGGATTGAGAACACTGTAAATATAATATAATAAGTTAATTAAAGAGTAATATAAAATTTCATAAAATAAAAACAACAATATTCTATCTCTAAATTCCAAATTAGTTATTTCATTTGCTATACTTATCTTATTTATTTTAAATTTGCTATATTATTATGTTCACATCGTGCCATAAGATTGCAAATGAATTGAATCGAGTTTGAGTCTATTTCGACTTGGATCATTTGTTTTTTAGCTTAGTTTGGAATCGTGACGGGCTCGAAACTGGTTTACTAAATAAGTCTAAAAATTAAAGTTCAACTCAACATAATTACTTAACGAATGAGTCCGAACTATTGATAAACTTTTAAGCTCTTTTGCAACTCTTATCATATGATAATGGGTGACTTATTAAACTTGTTCAATGAAGATGGTCTCACTTATTAAAATTGTTCTCAACTAACTGATATAATGCATTTTAATTGGTCGGGCATACCGATACATCAAATACTTACTTCTATCGTACTCGTATTCGTATTCATATTTTCGTATCTATATTCGTGCGTTTGATAAAAATGAAGAAAATTAAACGAAAGAAAAATAATAAAAGATAAATGAGACATTCTTAAGAAATATGGTTGACTCATCCATCCTCTTTTCCTCCACACTAACAAATGAAAAAAATTTATTTATTTCTTCTTATTTTTTCTCCACCCATCGGCCTCTCTTCCAACCGACCGACTTAGAATAGAATAGGCATGCCCTCTTTATTTGATTGAAATTTGAAATAGCCAATGGGTTAATTTGGTAATTTGGATGATTGGGGGAGAAGATCTTTTTGTATTGAGTTTTCTCGGGATACCTCTAGAGGTGGGATCCACCAACTGAAAGCTTCCATTACATTTGTGGTGCTAAAGTGGTGGTGGCAACCGGTTTTGCTTTACTTTGTTTGGGCCTACGCGTTCCATTATGGCTGGTTTACACATTCCGTGGCATTTCGTTTTTTCGTTTTTTCTATTTTTTTTTTTTTTCCTTTTTATTGTGGCTGGTAAGCACATAGGCTGTATAATTTTGGTGCTTATTGCTCACCCTAAATAAATTTAATTTCTTGCCAATTTATTTGAACACAAATAATAGATATATTTTTATTTTTTTTGTAAATTACAATGACGTTCTGTAAAATTATACCAACACCTTATTAGAATTCATTGACCGACCTAACATGCGATAATGGTTTTGATTCAATGCCCTCCTACCCACAACTTACCTTAATTCAATTTTAATCAAAATAACAAAAAGAACACGAATCGAGAATGTCTATCTGTGCTGGAATGTGTGACATCATAAAAAATATTAAAATTAATTTTGTATAAAATGAGTTGATATTGGCCAACTTCACTTTTTCTCTCTTAAAATGAAATTAGAAAACTCCTGCACTAAATAATTTTGGCTTTTATATCTTTAAGAGTAATATTATTATGCACAGAATTCTCTCTTTATTAGACGTGAATTGAAACAGTTTTATTTTCGACATGAGCTCTCTTTTTAGTACCATAATTATCTTTATCTTAGAAAATTAAGACTTGTGCATATATATTTTTTTAACCATTTTGAATTTACTTATGTTTTATCTCACTCATGTTCCATCACTCTCTCAGGCTCAGTGGGCTTTTTTAGGAATCATTGAAATTTGACAACAAACTAAATTTGTGATTTTTATTTTGATGTTTCAGTGGCTTTTTAAAAAATAATAGAATTGTGTTGATTCCATAGCAATCCTGAAACATCAAAATAAAAATCACAAATTTAGTTTGTTGTCAAATTTCAATGATTCCTAAAAAAGCCCACTGAGCCTGAGAGAGTGATGGAACATGAGTGAGATAAAAAAAAAAAACTCAACGAACCCGGGTAGACTTTTGAATTTTTGCCAAAAATATTCCCACCAACCAAATCAACGATAGTTTTATGCCATTTGAATTTAGTTAAAAGATTTTTTTTATTTTTTATTTTTTAATAATATTATATGAATTTATATTTTCTATTACATGCATCACCATTTTCCTACTTTTAATAAAGAAAAATATTAAAATTAAATATTAAAAAGTAAATTTATAGGTTTGAGTGCAACTACATACTATTACTTTAACATATGTCTAGCATAGTTAAATCTTGTAACATCATTTTCTTTCTTTCTTTCTTTCTTTCTTTCTTTTTTTTTTTCCTTTTTTTTTTTTTTTTTTTTATCAAAAGTTCATCTCATATATTTATACACATATATATGTACATATTATATAATATAAAAAATATTATAATGTTATATATAATGCGAAGTATATAAAATGAGTAATCAAAAAAGATATGAACTTATATGTAGTTGCAAATATAACTATACATTTTACTTTTTAAAAATTTCTTTTATATTTTTTTAATTAAAAATATGATGATGCATGTAAAAAAAATATAAGTTCAAATATTATTATTTGACAAAGGAAAATATATATATATTTTAACATATTAGGGTACCCAGCATCCACAACATAATATTTACCTGTTAAAAAAATTCATTTAACAAAATAATATATTTAAATAAATAAATTTTATTTTCAGAATATCAATATGAACCATTTGGTGGTTTCAGAAAGTTTATTTATGGCCAATGAATGGCTTCATTACACATATAAGAATCATGAACTGCCAAACAAATGTGAATCGCATGGCAAATGAATAAGAAATCATGACATTTTGTGTGTAATCTCCTTTACGTCCCCGCAATGCAAGTTGTTTGTCTATTGAAATGATTTCATCAATTGCACTAATACAATCCTAAACATAAATTAATATATGTTAGTGAAAATAAGCATAATCATGAAATAACTTTTAAAATAAAAATCAATTACCCAAAAATGGGGTCGATAATTCTGATGATTGTGTATGTGACTAGAGATATTATCAAAAGAAGAAATAACAATAATGGAGAAGGAGAATTTTAAAAATGCTTTCAAGATTTTGTTAAAACGTGTTTAAATCGCTCTTGCAACATTATATTTCTTTGATTATGATCAAGTATCATAAAAAAATATATATGATAATTTGTTCCTCAACAGCAAGTTTACAATTATCTTTCAATAAATCTCTCTGTTTAAACAAAATAAAATCATTTAAACACATACTTTTCCATTCGAAATAATTCATGACAACGTGTCAAACGTTGATTTAATATGTCCATTACACATTTGTGTCTATGAGGAATTGTTTTGGTTTAGATAACTACGGAGAATCAGTCCAAAGAGCTTGAGTACTAAAAGGAAATAATATAGAGGTAAAAAGAGTTTGCACCACGGAAGATCAATTTTTTTTTTTTTCATTTTTTCTTTTCATCAACAAGTCAATGGCCTAGTGGATTTGGTAAAAAGAGTTTGTACCACGAAAGATCAAATTCATGTAACTTTAAATTTGGTTAAGTAGTCAGACGTGGAGTAAAGGGCTCGTTGAGGATCTAACCTCACTTTAAGTTACAAATTCATATCTTACAGCTTTTTTCCTTTAAAAGAGGCCCATTTGATGGATCAACATGAATTTGAGATGAGCCAATAATCGTTCAGACAAAGGGAATAAATTTGACGATAATCAAATGAATTTTAATGAAATCTTCAAAATAAAATATCAAATGATCAAGTAGAGAGAGAAAGAGAAACAAACCAACCCCAAAATAAAATATCAGAGACCAAGTAAAGAAAGAAAGACGAAATAAACCAGACCCACCTTGTCTATTAAAATAACTTATACCGTATTTTGAAAATAATGTCTAAAGTTTTTATATATATGGATTACAACTTAAAAAGGTGGTGAAAATTTAGTTATTCACTTTTTTTAATTGACGTGGGGCTTTCATAGCCACTTATTTCGCACCGGAGGGAACTGGTCACTGTGAGATAGGAGAGGATTTTGCACCCCCATTTGATCTGTATTAATAATTGATAATTTCGTGAAGAGACTGTGATTAGCACATAGATGAGAAATTATTCCTTCCAATCATTGTAACGATGACGTGGTGCAATGAATAGCTACCAATACTCCACTAAAATACATATATCAGTTTTTTGGTTTTTTTGTAAGTCCACTTTAATTTGGTAGAGTATTTGTAACCGTTCGTTACACTACGTTATCGTTGCAATAACTGCAAAGAATGATTTCTCCACATCCATTCTAGTGATGGCATCATTGTTTAGTGATTGAGATAGAAACTGTTTTGTAAATTGGACTAGTTTGAATTAGATTTAGCTATTGGGTACCACAGAGTTGATCAGAGCAAGAAAATCTTCTCTTTGGTTGGCAATTCCTTCTTCTACTCATTCTATCATTTGGAGAAATATTAAGTTGGGGGTAGGGATAGAATGGTCAGAAACAGGACTAAAAATTGGAAGTAGTCCGTCCATTAAGTTATTTGGGGATCCATGGTTTCAAGGATTTTTTTTTTTTTTTTCTCAAAGGTACCCCCACAGAATTCTGTGGTAGCTTCCTTTTGACAAAAAAACATAAATCTTTAAATGAACTCCGACCATGTTCCGCAGCATGGATTTGAAAAAAATACAACTCAAAAAAGTTAAAATTTTTTTTTTTTAATTTCATTAATTCCAATTTCAAAATTTCAATTCTATACACCGTCCTCATCGTCAATCAGAATTGTAACTAATATTTTCTTTAATTTCATTAATTCCAATTTCAAGATTTCAACTCTATACAGTTGAACACAGACCTCATTGTCAATGAATGCCAGAATTGCAATTACTTAAAGGTTGCGTTCACTTCCGGTTTTATGCCAGAATTTGAGTGTTGCTTTGCTGTTTTTTCTTTGTCCTTTATTGCTGTATCTTTTGGAATGGCATACCCACCAATTCATTAAAATAATAATAAATAAATAAAAGAGAAAAAAAACCCTTGAGGCTAGCTGATTTTATTATTGCATAACTTCGACCTAGAATTCTTAAAATTATAACTATGCAATCAAAGGATATTTTGTAAATAAAGATATATTATTCAAAGGTATCCAAAGAATATTGAATGTGTTGAGGAAAGCAATTCTCACCACCTGAAATTCAATTCACAACCAAATTTCTAATATATGTCAATTGGAGTACGACAGGTAGAATTCTGCCCACCTTTTTACATCAAACCTTGTAAGAAAATGGGACTAAAAAATGCAGGCGCTCTCTTTCTTTATGCTGAAGAAAATAGTGACAAATGTACAAGTCAAGAATTAGCCACAAACACACACATCTACCAAATAAAACTTGAGCTAATCTATTAATCACATCCATGCCAGTGTCAGATCCCACCAAAGAGTGTAGCCCAATGGTATCTACTTTAGCTCCCATAAGGGAAAAGCGGGTACGAGAGTTACTTTCCGAGGAAACAAAAAAAAAAAATCCCAGATTAAACCAAAACCAGACACTGCACTTAATTCTTCTCTCTTGATTGCATCAATATAGCATAAACCCACCCACGCCTTTCCGGCTGTAAAAGAATCCAAAGGCCTAACTGATGCCTTCAATTTCGCATTACATAAAAAACAATAGCTTCTGCGGTTTCATTCCTGCCTAATATAAGGCGAGGAACTCAATTCGGTACTGTAGAATGAATCATCCCCATTGATTCCATACATATTTTCATCCTTCTCTTCATCCCACTTGAGGACCTCCCTAACATACTTAAATGCCTCATCGACCGATGTTCGCTCCCGAGCTCTGGTCGGCCACACATACAGCTTCCTGCCACTGATGGAAGCATAGAGCTCTTTGAACTTTATAGCCACATAATAATACGCTTGGTGTGCCAGGGATTGATTACTGTTATGAGGCCTCACAGGACTGAAGTCCCTGAACCACTCGCATACTGTTAAGGGAACCTGGTTGATTTTGTCCTCAAAGGCGTCATATTTGTTGAGGAGAAGCATAAAAGGGGTGTCCCGAAAACAAGGATGTCCCACCACATTCTCAAACAAATCCCTGCTAGCCAGCATTTTATTTTGAAGAGGACCTGTGTTATGGTCAAACACCTGGTCATAGTCGCTCAAGGCAACACAGTATATTATTGCCCTCACATCTTCGAACATTTCTAGCCATTTGCAGCCATCGTGCAATCCCTTTGAATTTATGCGAATTAATTGGTACCTGAGACATCAGGAAAAAGAACATCAAGAAGAAACACTTCGCTACAGCAGCAGCAACAAGGGGGAAAATGAATTAAAAACGAAAAAAAAAAAAAAAAAGAATATACACAAGAACTGCATCTTAAAATTTTACTTGGCCAAAGGAGGTTGTTGGCATTCCAAGTTTTCATTGTATATCTCGGACATGGGACTGTGATCATCAAATGAGAATTCAATGAAGGCAAGTCCATTGCCAGGAGTGACTCCTTCAGCGTATAGAATGTCTTTCTCTGAAGGTTCATACTCATTGCTTGATATCTCAATAGCCTGCAGGAGATTATACTTGTATCGATCAAGATAACTTTCTGAGACTTGGATAAGTAGTCTTGGACAAAAAGAAAAGCTTTACATATTAAGGATGCTCAACCTTCAGAAACTTAAGGCAAGAGAAATTGCATAATACGCAGAAGCATACAATAATGCGATAATTACAAAATAAAATAAAATAAGGAAGAAGAAGAAAACATATAACATAAAAAACACTCCAGCATTCACGGAGGACAGGTGCCAACTCATTGAAGAACCTTCCTACAAATCAGATTCAAGTATGATCGTGTTTTTCAGATCCATTCCATGTACAAAACAAGATAAACAACTTGCTGCTTTTGTTCCATGGTTCATTCTAAGCTAAATACACAAGCTCCAAAAGGAAAGGAGCGTAATCAAGCATACATATGCAGAAACACTATATTATATATGAAACTATACTATTTTACAAATATAAAATATGAGCGAGCATCTGTTTGTAAGAACTAAATCCCGATACTGCTAAATCTGTTCAATCACTTGGATCAAAGATTTTTAGCTGATCCAGCATTCTGAGTAAATAAACCGCATCAATTCATGATCCATTGACATCCCTTTCTAAAACCACTAATGTAATGCAAATAATGTGGGCAACTGACTTCACCATAAAATTGTGGAAGGTCATGGAAGATGCCTCTCCGCATTGTAATGGGATGGCATTGTATATAAAGTTGCGTACAACTGACCCTCCCCAGACCCCGCAATGGAGCCTTGTGCACTTGGTTTGCCCTTTACAATGTCTATAAAGCTGAAAAAGGACAGTTTCCTTAAACTAACAGCATAAGTCAAACAGAGAACAAACTCTATTCTGTCTAATGCAACTAGCAAATCTTATGCATTACCATGTGTCGCCTTCCTTAAATCCAAAGTAAAAAAGGCAACCATATGTTAAGGGCCCGCTTGGCATGCGATATGTTTTAGGTATTATGTTTTTGGTCAATAACAAAACAACCGTTTTGTTATAGGAGTGTTTTGGGTAGAAATCGGAACCATGTTTGGTAACGAAAATTTGTTTTGGGAAATTCGGAAATTTGCTTAGTTCCTCCACACAAAATCACCAATTTGGCGATATGGGTTTGGACCAAAAAATCTGGTATGTTATGAACTGTTCCAAACCAATATGAGCCGTTCCAAACATGATATGGGCCCTAAGGATTTCAAAGCCCATCATCCTCACATGCCAAAAAATCATTGATGTGGACGAAGTGGAATTAGTATGGTAAGGATTCAGGATTGTCATGGTTAGCATTTTTTTTTTTTTTTGACTTCTTTTCTTCTAACACCAGTTGTGGTATCTCCTGCTGCTCCCTTGGAAAAGGTGAATAATTCAAGTCCTTGTTGAGAGACATGAGAGTTTCCATGGATAAGGAGACAGTAACCCTCCATTGTGTAACCTACGGTATTGGACAATCATTTTTTAAATTTTAAAAAAAGAAATGAAAAAGATAGAAAGAAAAAGAAAATAGTATTTCATTACTTTTACCAAGAGAAATAGAAAAAAGAAATATGAGAACTAATAACAAAAAAACAACATGCAAACGACACTCAACAAGTCCATTTAACAGGATAAATAACATAATAGAATACAATAGCCAACCTAATAATCCTGCAAACTAAGATATCATTAAATTTAAATTGACAAAAGACCCACTGAAAAACTGATTCAAGAAACCATGAACCTAAAGGCTTTTTCGTGAAAATATAGAGAAAATGGAGAAATGAAATTAGGCATGGTTTTCAGATCATGTGAGAATGGGCAGCCGTACATGGTCAACACAACTGCTATTACCTGCTGTTTTGATTGGTTCATAAATTGAAGCATGCATCTAAAAGTGTGGTGAATAGGCCTACTAGATCATTTGATTGATTTAGACTTGAACAATTACCAAGTTCAGATAAAGTTGTGCTTATCAACCAACCATGCAATGGAAAATAAAAATAAAGAGCAAATCCCAAATAATTTTTATAGAAAATCCCAAAAGGGCAAAAAGAGCACCTATTGCAGGGCAAAAAAATTCACTATCTGAAGAACAAGTTGAAACAGCACTCCGACTCGGCCTTACACCCAGAATATTATTTTAAAGAAAATCCTAAGGGGAAAAAAGGGACCTAATGCAGGGCAAAAAAATCCACTATCTGAAGAACAAGTTACAACTCACTCTAACTTGGTCTTACACCCAGAATGCTTGCCAAGGCTCAGTTATTGACTGCCTCAAACTTGCACCCTTTTTACCACTCGGTGCCCTTCAAGCCTAGTTCCAAGTGCCACGACATATGTTATTCTGTCAACAATATCGTAACACTTACAAGGAAGTTCCATGATTCAAGTGAAGATAAAGATGGAAGTTCACAAAAGATCAAGATGAAATTCTTCATGTTTTAGATTACACTTGGTTAAGGTAAGTGAAACCTTAGAGCACTTGGGTTTTAGGGGGCACATTCCAGATATGGATATTCCTAGAATTTTAGGTATTTTTTAACTCAAAATGATTGACAAAAAAGTTTTGACTTGTTAGAAATTAAAAAGAATTCGAAGTCGAAATTAGGAAAAGTTAGTAAATTACTAAAGGTACTGGACGAGTTCTACGACTACAACTTCCTCGAGAAACATTTCCAACGATACTAGTGGCAGCAAGTTTTCCACCGGTACATTACTCAAAGTTCCACTGGTACAACCTGGACAGAAATGTACAGATACAACTTGTTCTGGAAGGCGGACTGCAAATTTTCCTAATTTGGGTCAAACTTCACAAGTATAGCAGAACTTGGAGACAAACGCGACACAGTATAAAATATTTATGAATATATGGTTTATAGAGAAGAGAGAAATCTTTCAAAAAATCTAGTCTTTATGTCCTTGAGTGAGAGAACAGAATCAAAGACGCTTATTCAATTTTATCATATATTACTACTGTTTTAAATTATCGTATATTTAGGAATTTAGATTTTCCACCATAATCCTACCGTCTCACGTGTTAACTTCGTCTAAAGCATGAAACTGTGTCCGAAGCATCATTGAAGATTGCTATATCAATTGCCAATCCTTTTTCATAAATCGAATATTCTACTTGTTTGCTTTGATTGTTAATTCAGCAAGTGTGTTTTCAGTAGATCACTAGTGAAGAAACGTGAACTGCCGAGGAGGTAATTGTATTAACTTGGATAGCAGCAGCCAGCAGGCTGATTGTGACGTCCCGCATTGGCTTGGAGAGAGGTTGTTGGCACTTATATGTGTGGATGGCACTTATATGCATGGATACCCCTTAACTGTGTAGATGCATTTTGAAAACCGTGAACACGGAGACTGTGCAAAGCAGACAGTATCTACACCAGGCTGGGCGGGTTGTGATGAATGGTATCTACACCAGGCTGGGCGGGTTGTGATGAATGGTATCAGTTGAATGTAAAAGGCTCTTGTAAGCCACAAATTCTCATTAGCCATGCTCCTAATTTATATTACAAACTGAATATGCCTCTAATAGGCACGTGATGAAAATAATATCATATAAAATCAAATTAAGATCAGATCAAATCCAATCCCTAAAGATACTCTCAATACAGATCAAATCCCTATATTTTCTCCCAATACTACCTCTCAAGTTGGAGCGAAAATATCAACTAAGCCCCAGCTTGCCAATACCAGAGCGAAGAGCAGATTGTCCTACTGACTTTGTGAACATATCGGCAGGCTGATTAGTAGAAGAATTGAAGGAAGTATGGATAACTCCATATCGCACTTCCTCCCTGAGAAAGTGAATATCAACCTCAATATGCTTTGTCCTTTTATGAAGAACTGAGTCAAATGTGAAGAAAAATAGCAGACCAGTTATCACAGAAGAGAGTTGATGAACTAAATACAGGGAATCCTAGCTCAGTCAATAGGGAACAAAGCCAGAGGATCTCACATGTGCCCTAAGCCATGGCACGGTACTCTGCCTTTGCAGAAGAACGAGATGCAACGCTTTATTTCTTACTTTTCTAAGAAATTAAATTGCCCCCGTGAAAAGTACAAAAACCTGAAGTAGAGTGACGGTCAGAGATCTAGTATAATCAACATCGGTGCAGCACGAGATAAGAGGTTGTGGTATCGATTTGTAGAATAGACCAACTCCTGGGCAGGACTTAAGGTATCGAAGAATTCAGTATACTGCATCTAAGTGTGAGGTCCGAGGAGAATGTATGAACTGGCTCACAACACTAACCGCACATGTGAGATCAAGTCTAGTGTTTGTTAGATAAATTAAGCGGCTAACAAGGTGCTGATAAGCAGACGGATCTGGAAGAAGGTCTCCAGACTCGGTATAAAGCCGATGCGTCGAATAAATAGGAGAGGAAGCACGACGACACTCGAGCATACTAAGAGATCTAATGCACACATCCGCTGAGAGAGCGAAATGCCATGCCTAGAGCATGCAACCTCAATACCAAGAACAAAATGAAGAGGACCTAAGTCTTTAACCTCAAAAGCATACCCAAGGTCTATTTTTACCTTGTTAATGAAAAATGCATCATTTCCTGTGATGATTATGTCGTCAACATATACTAAGATAATGGCACAATGATTTTCTGGACTATGACGAAAGAAGCATGCGTGATCAGAGAGACAACAAGTGAAACCCATAGAAATAACTACAACACTAAATCGGTGAAACCATGCCCGAGGTGACTGCTTCAGTCCATATAAGGATTTTAAAAGGCGACGTACTTTCCCAAAATACTCTCCCTGAAGCCGAAAACCAGGATCCATATAAATTTCTTATGTCAAGTCCCCATGAAGAAAGGCATTCTTCACATCTAATTGGTGAAGAGGCCAAGAGTAGCAAGCCACTAAGGAAATAAGAAAGGGTTTGGCGACTGGAGCAAAAGTAGCATTAAAGTCCTTCCCCAGAGTTTGGGTAAAGGCCTTCGCGACCAGCCTAGCTTTATAGCGATCAACAATACCATCTGATTTATATTTGACT